GCAGATAAATTTTATTCCATTATATAATGGATTATGTTACCTTATCCATTTTACTATTCAAGAATTTCACTGCCTTGCTCCATTTATTTGTCTTATATTCTTCTCAGTATGTTCTCTCAGGAAAGGTGGTTAAATAGAGAAAGCAAATTACATTGGTTTCTTCAAAGCTGTAAATTCTTGAATTCATTTAGTTACCCATGATCTTTATATGTAGAAATTATTATAATCTACTGCCACGAGATACAATTTTCAGATCAAAGACTAATCACAGTTTTCGACATCCCATTGTTAAAGAACTTACACAGTTTTATGATGCATGTTGTCAATCTGGCATTTTATGTGTAAGAGCCAAGTTTCTAATAAAATTAAAAAAGACAAACCTTGTGTTTAAATCAATGCCATTGGGAAAAGTGAAAACAGTGTGGAATCCCTGCAGTTTTTTCAGTGTGTTAAAAACAGGTTAGCCTTATCTGAATTGGGAAATTCAGATTCAAATTCAAATAAGAAATTCAGGAGTCCTACAATTACAAAGACTTGGAATGAATAGAAGTGGTGATTAAACCAGAAAATGCTTCTAGTGCTGCTGTCTATGGTTTTGTATATATTTCAAGAGTGAATTAAAAAGAAAATCAGAAAGAAATAATACAAAATGAATGAAGAGTGACCTATTCTTTGGTTAGTAAGGCATGGAAAGAACAGAATTGTCAGAGTAGAGTCTTGGCTTCCCTTATAGAAGGAGAGTTTATATAAATTTTACTGGAGACAGTTGTACAAAAACCTGCAGGGGAAAAACTAGACAGTGGCTAAACTGTGTAAACTGCTGAAAGAGGACTTCCAAACAACAATAAATACTGAAAGCAAAGATCTGCAAACATTTTTACTCATCAGCAAATCAGTTAAAAGCACTCCTTTTATCCCCGTTTTAATGAAGCAACATTGAGTGAATTCACACTTACATAGTGGTTCCTAAAACTGTTGGTTTATTCCATGTTTAGAAAATGCAACAGTATTCAGCCAGGCTACAGAGAGTATGATGGAGCAGGTTCTGAAGTGAGTAGTTCTGTCTCTAACCCCTCTCCACCCTCCACATAAAGACAGTCATTATCAATTCCAACAGATTAGAAAACACTTTCCTAAAACTCCTAGTCCAGAAACTAATTTTTTTTCTTTCACACTCTGCTAAATCCATCCAATAACAAATGGAAACAACTCATCCCACAATATTCTCACCCAACAGAAGGCTTTAAAAGCAGCAAATACAATATAAAAAAATTGAAGTGAGGAAGTAGACAAGAGCTAAACAAACAATTCCAGCATTGGACCACCTCTGTATTATGCAGAGGATATAACTGAGTCTGGCTCTTCAGATAAGCTCTTTTTCAAAGCTCATTCTGATTATCCAATTGGACCTTTTTCCATTGTGGCAGAGTTGCCTACCAATTTCCAAAATGAATGGTTGAGTAGCATTTCTTTTATTAAACACACAGAGATCCTCCTTTGCTTACTGCATTGGATAAGGGGAGAAACACTTTGTCTGGAGGATAAGGAGAACAAGAGAATGAAGGGGAAGTTTTGTGGCAGGAGTGAAAGGCAAAGATGGAAGGAGGAAGCGACAGTTTGAAAATTGCCTTCTCCTTGAGGAAACTCTGCAGTTACACTCAGGTAACAACACCTCTGCCACAAATATACTTTTCCAGAGTAGAAAAAGATGAACACACCCTCAAAAAAAAAAAAAATCTGCTTGAAAGCAGCCAGAGAGTTTCCTGATTATTCATGTGCCACAAAGGGTATTCTAATGATAGCTGACTCCTGCAGAAGAACCCACTGGTTCATCAATTTAGAGTTTCAGGAGGAAATATTCTTGATAGACACAGTGTACTAATTACCATATAATTTTATACCTGTCATTGACTTTAAATGACACATACATTTATTTAATTTACTTTTAATCAGAATTTCCCTAGGAGATGTGTTTGCATACTCAGGGTGTAATTCTCAAGTTTGAGGCCTGAAATCTTGTGTGTCACTGAGCTGGGTCTCAATTCCTTGTTATCTAGAGTTCACCTCTCTCTAGAAGGTTATGATAAGACTTAAAAGCACATCAAATACATTGGCAGAGAACAGTTTATAATGCAAATAACTTTTAAAATGCTTGGAAAAAGTAATTTCTCACCATCAGTTCTTCTAGTTTATAAAATTTAAGAGATTACACTGCTTAGAACTTGTTTCAGAGCTGATGCAAGTCACTACTGAATCTCGGGTTGAAAATATGCAACCAAGTTTTTTTTTTCTGCTGAATTCCAGTTCTCTAACAGCAAATACCACTGCAGGAATCTAAAGCTGCTTCATCTTCATATTTGGATATGCTCTACTGCAATAGAAGAAGCTTCTGGCAATGTTAAACATCCCATTGCTGAAGCACTGTGTAATTCAGATGAAGGTTCTGCCATGGTACTCAGAATATACCATTCAATATCATATAACACTGGATTGGCTTAAACAGTGCTTAAACATATTTTAAAAAATTCAGATGACCATTTTTCTTGTGAATAAGGTTTGATACTGATATTCACAGACTTTGTCATTTCATTTTTATGTCATCGTACCATTTTCCAAAGTGAACGTCTCAGCATCATTAGATCATACCCAAGACAAGGAACTTCTATTTTAGCAAAAAAGAAAAAAGTATAATAATTTTAGAATAACTGAAACTATTACACTTTGCTAGAATTTCCTTGTGAGGAAATTCATTGCACATTCCAATGCAATACTTTAATATGGAATTATACATTAATATTTCATTGCATATATATGCATTTTGTGATTAACTAATAAATAATATTTAATTTCTGCTGCAAGCCATTCTGAGCACTGTAGTTAATATGGATTGCAGAAAGGGCTCTCTACAAGAAAAATAATGCCATAGAAGCTGTTAAATAGCATCTCTTTCAAGGTTCCCATATCGAAAGCAGTGCCAGGTAATTAAAGTCTGTTAGTTTTTGTCTTCACTCACAAGTAACAGCACCATAAACTGGGCTCTTAATGAATGACACCAAGAGCTGCCAGACTGCTGTAGAGCTCACCCCATTAACGTGCAGTGAAATGGGCATTTAGGCTGAGCTTCACATGGCAAGAAGAGCAGTTGCAGTTCAATTTGCCTTCAGAGGCTTAACTCAAAGCTCACCTTAGACCTAAGGCAGGATTTTGCATCAAAGATCTGGGGTTTTGGGCTTTTTTTTCCCCTTTTTTGTTTTTTCTCCCCTCACAGCCAAATTAGTCTAATGTGAGATGACCAAGTGCCTGTGGTATGGAGCTCCCCTTGCCAGGACAAACAGAGGAGGTGGCTGTCAGGGGCTGTTGCTGCATCTCCTTTGTCACTCTCTGTGGAGCTGCAAAAATATCTCGAGGACATTTTTTTTTTTTATTCACTGTCTGACAGATTTGAAAAAAATGTAGAATGAGATGCCCAGTAATTTTAAGGCAGCGTTTTTATAGGCTGTAAATAGGTTTTGTCTTGGATTACTCAAAATGCTGTCTGCCTGCCCAGGTCAGGAATGTCTGTGGCAGCTGCAGGCTCAGAGTTCTCCTGGAGACCTCACTTCAGCCTCCCAAACAGGAATTCTGCCAGCTTATTTCCAGACACACTGTCTGAACTGCTGCTCCCCAACAGTCACTTCTCATGCCCATAACAAAACTCAGGATGGAAAAAGAAGATGGTAATGTATTTTCCTTTTAATTACATTTCAGAAAAATCTCTACCGTACAGGCTTGTAGCAATGTGACTCAACCTTCTCTTTTCTAAGAGGATCACTAACATAGGAATATTACTTTCACAAACAAGTAGTAGTAGAGTATTTTATTTTGGACAGTTCTCACTGGTATAAGTTCATTCCTTTTTCCTCTCCATTCTTCTCATTCTTTAGTAATATACTTCATAATTTTGACAGCACCATAAAGCCAGGTAATAGTCACAAGGATAACACTCTCAAAATGTGACATTAAAAAAAAAAAAAAAACAAACCACAACAAAAAAACCCACAAAACCAAAACAGGACAACCACTACACTAGCAGGAAAAACCTTCCTTCCAGAGCCAGAGATGTAACTTTGATGGAAAGTGGAAGAAAAATGTTTTCATGAGAGAACCAATCTTACAAAAAGAGCAATATCCAAGAAAACTGTGACATAGTTCATAAATCCTTACAACTCACTTTCTTCTTATATCTTTAAGAAGGAAAATCCCATTACAATCAAAACACTTGTCTGATGTGCCCAGAGTAATAACTGGAGTTATTACTGGAGTTACCATAGTGGTTCTTGTAGCAGACACTTCAAAGTTTTAATCTAAATTCTGCTTTGGAATTGCATAAATTACAGTTATAGAAATGTGTCTTTCAATTGGGTCTGAAAATACACAAAGATTTTCGGAGAAGGATTTAACCCTTTTTGTTTTTAGCTCAATGTCATATCCACCTCAGTTGTCTGAAGTTTGAAGACTACCTGTGTAGTTTCTAATTTCAAAATGACAACTTTCTAATTTACAGCCTGTTGAAAATATTTTTCTATCAAGAAAGAACAAGAGTGTTTTTAATAGAAGGTCATACATATATGTATTTATATATATATATGGTTGAGCATCTGGACACGTGACAAAATTGAGCTGCCTGGTTTCCTTCACAGTTTTTAACATACTCTCACTATCCCACAACATGCAGGTCTGTTGAATCAGCATATTCATTCCAATAAAAAAAGGCCACTCCAATGCCAGCCTTCCAGGCATTGAGTGATTTGTGGCTGGTTTTTGACACCTGGGAGTTTTCAGCTCCTTTGGAAGCTGGGAGAGCTCTCACCCAAAGCTTGTTGCCAAAGGGGAGACTTACCAAGTACTTGGAAAAAATATGAGTTACTAAGTAGAAAGAAACCACATCTAGCTCAGGAAATCTAATCTGAAAATAGATGGAAAGGCAAGGATATGAGAGGAAGTGTCACACATACCTGCCCTTCACTGTGCTGTGCATCTGCCTGGGGACAACATGTACCTTTGTTCTAACTCCCTGTGATCACGTTCAGGCTCTACTTCATAATCAGTTGGTTGGAAGGAACTTCAGAGGACGGAAAAAAAAATTAAAAAATCAGTCAAATGTTTCACCTACCTCATCCAATTTTATTTTCTAGTGAATTCATTATTTTTAAAAAATACTAAGTATGGTAACAAAGCAGATAGGGGCAAAGAAACCAAATTACTCCTTTGGATAGTTGAAAGCTACTTTCTGAATAAAAACACTGGTTGTGCTTTCTAAATTACCCTTGGATTATATCAGAGATGAAGGAAGACAAAAATAGGTGTAATAGTTACAAAAAAAGAACTATACTGTCACTATTGACATCTGTAACTTTCTGGTTTAAGTAACTGGAAAAAAACCCTCCACTTCTCACTTATGTTTAAATGCCATTTTCTGTATCACACTTTGGGCCCATTGCCTCTTGCCCTGTCACTGGGCACCACTGAGAAAAGCCAGGCTCCATCTTTCTACGCACACAGGTATTGATATTTTGGTAATGCAAGCACTTCCTATTACACCAGGTATCTTCTAGGGTGGGCCATATGGAATGTTCTGGCAATAAGGTCTGCCCCCAGCATTCTCTTCACAAAGCTGAATAATCCCAGCATGCCAGCTTTCCTCATTTCCCATCTGCTTCACCCCCCTCGTGATTTTTAGTGGTCCCCCCACTGCTAATTGGAGAGAAACAGTAGAGCGAATTTCCAGTAAGTTAATTCTCTCTGAAAGGCTAAAGGGAAAGAGCTCTCCAGTCACAGAAAGAGCAGCATGAAGACCTAATACAAGTGTCCAAGGAGGCAATGAAGGAAAAATCTAGGACACTTCCTTTCATGTACAGTAGAGGGGCATTTTAAGAATTTGGAATATGAATGAGAACAACATGGCAGAGGTCCCCACTGCACTGAAATCCAGAGACACAGAGAAAAAGCCTTTATGAATGGTTGAGTAACAGTGTGCAGAGAAAGGATGATCTTTCTTGGAGACCAGGGAAATATTTTGGCATACAAATGAGCCCACTGAGCAGTGGGCTCCACTTAAAACAGTAGGGAATGTGCCTGACTGGCACTTAGAAACTACAGGGGATGGAGGAACAAGCTCTGTGGGATTAAGCAGCTATTAAAGGTGAAATACATCTCAAAAAATAAAAGGAGAGGAAAGAAAAGAGTCAAATACAGAAATACTAGATATGCACAATTGTCTTTAGAAACATGATAACAGTGTGAACCAAAATGAATGCCAGGTTTTAAATGAATATATTAATGTGGCTTCCCTTGTTATGGAAGTAACAACATGCAGGGTGTTATTATACCACAATACATGTGCTAGTGGATTGTAAACAAAAGTCCAAAAACTTTTGGATCTCTTTAGTAAGTCCCATCTATAAGATATTTTAAGATGTGACTACAAAAAAAAGCCACTATTTAATAGTAATGATAAAATACTTATTCAGTATCTGCTCATGAGGAAAGGAAGACACAAATAAGACACAAATATCTGGAAGAGTTCAAAAGTGAGGGAGAAAATTAAACTCAATGAAAAGAACAAACAAAAAGATAAAGCAAGACATCACAGTTTAAAATAGACCTGAAACAGGTTAATTACCACTTTGTAGAAACTGGGCAAAAAACACAGCTTTCAAATGAAGTGATTCCATGATGCTGGAATTTTAGTGAGAGAAGTTAAAAGCACAGTGCTTTGTAATTTCTAGTGACTCGTACATAGTGTTCAGTGCTTGACACGAGCAACTGTCAGTCCACCCCTATGGCTCCATGAAAGTTTAACAAAGAAACTACTAGTTTCAATTAAAAAAGGAAGATACAAGGATGAATAATTTTATTTCAGTATATTATACTTAATTAATATCAATAAACTTTTTTAGCACTTGCAAGTAATGACGTAACTACACCTGTCACCAAAATTGTGATCAGCGTGTGATCAGGGATGATCATTCTTATGAGCAACAGAAAGCTCCATCACGGATCTAAACCTCTTTCAGTATCTATTAACCTCAGCTCATCCTGTAGTCCTGATGCATTTCGTATAAAGCCACAGTTCTTCAAAGTTTAACAAAATATTATTTTGCTTAAATAAATATTTCTCATGCAAGAGTCACAACAATGACCCAAATGTGTCCCAGAAGTGGAGAGAGGAAATTGTAATGCAGAAGCGCTGTTCATTTTTAAAGAGCACTTCTGTTCCACTGCAGAGAAGTTCCCACTGATCCCTGTGAACACATTTGTAGCAAATGAACTACTTTTCAAAAATTAGAATTATTTGAAAGTGGAACAGCTGCAGGCATGAATACTCAGATACAGAAGACAATGGCAGATTTGCATTTATCTCAGAAACGTATTTTATCTGAAGTCTGACTGCAATGAAAAGCACCATGCTTTGCAAAAACTTTTGGAGCTATTGGCTCTAATCCAACCTCACAGTCAAACAGAACTGGCAGAGGTCTTCCCATCTGTTTACAGTCTTTTGCCCCTCATGGATGAGATTAAAAAGAATCCACAGTGCAAAAAGTGGCTTTTCCCACGTATGTAATACACAGGTTATCATCTTTAAATGGCAAAAGCTTCCTCTTTAATCCATGTTGCCATCTGGTGTATCAGGTAGCAACACACATTTTAGTTTTTTCTTGCAGTGCAAACTCCCATTTCTCTTTTTATGAACGCCTCTGGGCAAAGTTAAAACAAGTGCTTGCATTGCATGGCTCTTTAGAGGAACAAACTGCCAGCCATCATCATGCTCTCCCTGTAAGCATTTTAGTTTTGTTTCAGAAAGTAGCAGATCTCACATGGACTCTCCTCCAGTGCCAGGACACAAGGCCAACAAAGAACTCAGGACAAATAGTGAGTTCATACCTCTGTGGAGATGAGGAAAACTGTCCAGTGGCTCTTCTTTCTGTAGGTCAGCCAGGGTACAACCAGCAAGACCTGAGCAATCAGTTCATTAGTAGCTCCCAGCTAGAATATTCCACTTTTGATTGAACTGCTGGAAAACAACAGCAGAATATTGGGAAAATCAGATGAAAAGTTAAAACCACCCTCAGTAAAATTTAAAAATCATGAAGGTTATAACTTCTCTAGAACAACGTTTCAGTGCATGGTGATTGGCAGGACTCAGTGGAAAACAAATTTATATCACTTCTTAGCTTAAAATAAAAAAAAAAAAAGGCATCAAGGGAAAACTGAATAATTACATTTCTTTGAGAAAAATGTCACTAAGAATCACACTTAAGCCCTGGTATTTTACAGATGCATTTTGTGAGACAGAATTGATTGAAACAAAACACCCAGGGTGTGATCTGCAGCAAGTGATCACCTTAAAAACTAAAAAGGCACAGTGTGGTTCTTGACTTCCCACTGTTCTCAAGGTTAAACTGTTCAAGTAAGCTAGTTACTATGACTATCAGAAGTTATTAAGAATTAGTATGCAATTGCTTCGAAAAAGTTATGCAGATGGATAGACCTTGGTTATTTATAAATTTATTTTTTGGAGGATACACCAGCACTGTAGAAGAAGGAAGGTGGCAACACTGCGGGAGGAAATACAGCTACAGCTTCCCTGAACACCAGGCTGTGCTATCTGCAGCCAGGCTGGGGAACACCAGAAACAGAGGGAATGAAAGCTCTAAATATCCCACTGATGCTGCTTTAGTGTGCGGGACAGTCTTGTCAACAAGACAAACATTTTTAATGTAATCAGTAGTTTTCCTGTTCCCCTTCTCTCCAGTTCTGGTTCCCACTACATCTTCTGCTCTCAGGATATTAATACCTCTTCCCCTTTTTTCATTTGCTTAAAAATACAAAGAAATTGCACAGCGAGACCTCAGCCCACGGGGCTGTTGCCGGTGTGGGGACTTGAGACAATGAACTATTTTGGATGTTGTGTTCTGTGAGAACTTGGCAAAGCAAAGGGCTTTCACCTCTGCCTAACCCCTTTGCCAGCACCGAGCTGGGAAGCGAGCGAGCACAGTCCCACTGCTGCTCTAACAGTCGTGAGCAAAGTGATGGCCCTGCTGGAGGGTGGGGAAGTGTTAATTGGCAAATTAAGACGGCGCTGCACTGAGGCGTTGAGGATAAATTGCTGCACTGAATATGCATTTTCAGGGCTTATCGGGAAATGGAGTGGAAGATGTGTAAAAGGCAGCTCCACGCACTGCTGGGGAGGGGGGAGTTACCCAATTTATTTTCTGGTGTGTCTACAGCAGACTCTCAGCTCTTGGAAAACTGTTTGTACTTTCAGGGATATTGTTTAATTAAAGAAGAAACTTCATCTGTGAAAGGTTATCTAATTCCCTCCACGAAACTGTTAAGTTTAAAAGGCCAGGGATGGGTAGAACAACCAGAATTATGTACTAAATGCTGCTTAAGTTTAAGGCTATTTACATACCTGACTCTGCATAGAATACAAATTATAAAGAATTAGACTAACAGTGAAGGCTGTTGTCTAAGCCAAATATAAAGACTGACTACTGCATTTTTCAATAACGAGTATGTAATATTGACTGTTGTCCTAGATTGCCCGAGAAATCTTTAATTTAGATTTCATCCTGGCACTCGTAATGATTCCTGTGTCCTTGTTCATGATCAGTAATCTACATTTCTAGCCACAGAAGTCAAGCTGTCATCATTGCAGTGTTTTACACTGGACTTTATGGTATTGCACTGCTGCTGGCAGCTTTGCTCCTGGAGGAAGAGTAGATTAAAAAAGCCCAGTTCCCTTCTTACTTCAGCAGGTTTTGGCCCCCGTTGCTGCAGAGGGGTCAGCGAAGGTGGTGGGACATCCCCTGTCCCATATGTGCCCCTTTTCCCTCTAGGCCAAAATGCAGATCCCAGCTGTATCCTTTCCTGTCTTCTCCCTTTGCTGCACTTTTGCCAGTTCATCTTAAACATGAAAAAGGTCATTTACATGTGGATAAAAGCACTGCATTTTGACAGTGTACCTACAGAATACTATTGAACTTTAGACCCGTGAAGTTCAATTCAGGCATATGCACAGTACTAACCAACAGAATTCCCCAGCCTCCGCCAAAAAAACAGATCAAAGCTCTTTAGTACCAGTTATTCAAGAAAATCTAGCATGAATTATTCAATAAAGAAGTGCATTTTTCCACATGAATGAAACATTCTGTTCTGTGACTCTGTGATACTCAACTCTGATATTAAGCAACTCTCTTCATAAAAAATTTGGCATATCTTTTCCTTTTAAATTGCATTCAGATTTAGTTGGATGAATTTGTTCATAATTTTATTTTTCTGCCTTTAGATTATTTCCATTTTCAGATAACAAGTTGCATTCTGTGCAAATTTAAAATGCAGTTTGGTAGTATTCTGTGAAAGAGGCAGCCTGCTAGCCTAGAGTTCCAGTATTCGGTATAATTCGGAAAGAAGTCCAGTTTCCCATCAAATTCAAACATGGATCAGTGATAACCAGTTTCTCACACTTTCTTGCCCTGATTGAAATCAGAGCTGTGACTCAACAAAGAAGTCTTCCAGATATGAACTGGAATCCAAGGCACAGGAGTGCTTTGGAAGCTACTGCTGGAAGCTGAAGTTGCTCTGCTGTTTCACAAAGAGCAGGTTTATCTGGAAGATTTAATGAAGTTGAAAGTCTGACATTTTCTAATATTGACAGCTGCTGTCCTTAGCTCTGATGACAATTGCCACATGTTACATAGAGAAATTCTATAAAGGTCACTGCAATGTGGAAATCAGAGGCTGGGGAACATTTGCTGGTTTCACTTTAAGTGGTGTAAAGTTTTCATCCTTTGCATCTTCTAAAACACCAGACAAGTGTTCTTTTCTTATTCTGTCTCAACATTAGAAGTCTCTGAACACACAAGTGATGGCAAATAATTTTCAGATGTACAAAATTAATGCCAATTAAATAAGGCATATATAGGGTATGACTCAGGCAGAGAATGCTCAATAATATGCCCTGTATAGAGCTGGAGAGTTAGTATTACTCTTATTACTCCATAGCTTTTAATAATGGCATATGCCAAGTGTTCTAAAAGTGTTAAATACTTTACTTACCATTATTTGGAGAAGAACTGCCAGAAACTTAAAATGCCTAAAATTCTTTACATGAAGCAATATCAGAACAATTAGAGAATATTAGGTTTTACTGGAAGCAATTTCTCACTCATCCTTGCTCAACGACAAAAAAAAAATTTAATATTTCCTTTTATTTAAACAAAAATGGATTTAAGGATGGATGTAGAACTGTACCATTCAGGATGTGGGAAAAGTAGAGGACTGGGGTTATGAAGGACACAAACCAGAGCTGCAGCTGGAATGGGGCTACAAAGTGGCTGACAAGGGAAGGGACAGCCTAGATATATAGTATATTTAGTCTTCATTCTAAATTACCAATTTAAAATTTATGATTATGTTAGAAGACATTATAAAAAGGTTTTCTTACTTGAAGGTGAGCTGCCAAAACAGGTGTTGTAGAATTAGAGGAAATGAAAGGAGCATGACCAAACTGGACATTACAGTGCTATCTCCATCAGTGAATATCAACCCTTGGTGATATTCCCCAGTTCCCTCCTGTGACTTGCTCCGTTTCAGGAACCTTATTTGAACATTTATCACACCTTTAGCTTTTCTCCCCTTTGTTTCCACAGTAACACACCTAACATTCAGTGCCATTCTCCTTTTAAGCACTTGAGCTTCATCATCTCTCAGCATTCAAAAGGCTTTGCAGGACTGTTTTCCATACATCCATCTCATTAATTTGTTTTTTAAGCTATATCTATACATGAATACACACATGAAGCACATTCAATTTGTAAGAATTTTGTGACTTTCATATTCTGTGGAAAAAAAAAAAAACTAAAAACTTCATATGGATATTAGGGGGTAAAAAAATATTACTCCCCAATTCAAATACACGTGTAAATGCCAGATCTCAAGTTGATCCCCTTGTAGCCCACCTGTGCAGCCACAGGTAGCCAAAAACTGTCAGAAAGTGGAACTGGCAGTTGATGGGACTCGTTGAGATGCTCTTGGCACAGCAGGAAATTCCAGCCTGTTCCACCCAGTGCCCTACTTCAGCTCCATTCCCAGTGACACAGCAGTGGCAAGGAAGGCACTTCCAGCCCTCAGATCCACATTAAGAGAGCTACCAATCAATTATTTGCTGAACAGAGGCAAACAAAAAGGCTTTCACTACACTTGCACAGTATTCATCAAAGCCTCGGCCGTTAAGGCAGCTCAAAGACTTGGGAAACAAAACACTTCCACCTTATCCCAAGTTTTTTCACAAAGCTACCTTTTGTAGCTTAATTCTGTTTTAAGGGTAGCAAATCCTGTAAATCATTTGCAATTGCATTTTGAAATTATCTTGCTAAGAACACTAAACCAGAGTATGGAATGTAATTAATGGCTTCTTTCATTAATGTACAGACATTGAAAACAAAAAATAATTACTCTACAAAAAGACAACTTTTCTTGAACTTCTGAGTATAAGTTCAAGCACAAAAAAGCCAGATGTTCTGCTATTTTTTTTGTTTTAAAACAGTACTGTATAGTTTTGGCATTTTTTTTTAAATGGAACTTATTGTCTTTATTACACCTAACACAAAGTCAGCACTTCCAATCATTACTGCAGCATTAAATCCTTCATTTTAGATACTCTACAGGAACAATATATTTGCTGCAGCCCAGATGTCTTTTGCCTCTTGGAAAGCAAGAGTCCAGAGAGGTTATCCAAGTTACCTGACTGGGAAAAGCCCAGAGCATCCTGGCCTGATCTCAGAGCTGCCCCTGCTGTGAGCAGGAGGCCAAGCTCAAGATCTCTCGAGATCCCTTCCACCCTGAATTAACTCCTGTTTAGTAAAAGAAACATTTCATTTCCCTTCTGATTTCCATTTGGCTGTGGACTGTGAGAAACTGGGGACACGCAAATAGTGCATCAAACGCTTTGCAGATGGGAACAAAACTCTCTGGTGGATTCTGACAAGGAAAATATTCATGCAAACTTCA